AACTTTCGAATCACCGTGTATTGAGGCTGCAGATTGGCTGAGTCACCCTGTAGGGTGAGCTTATTGGCCTGAAGCCATATGTTGAGCAGTGTAATAACTCTGGGATGAACAAAGAAGCTTTTCCCCCCCCCGCCCCCGTTAATTGTAAGCTGTCCTAAGAGGAGCGAGGTTAGTCATTCTCATGCTAATAACATGAATCACACTCCCTTCTAACAAGATAATCACATCTCTCGGATGTAATTGAAAACATTTCTTTACTGGACAAGAAAAAAATGCCCGGAGTTTGAAGAACTTTGACAATACTTTTATGAATACAATGTAAGGCGGGATGCTTCTAATCTGATGGCTCTGAGTTCGAATTGTAATGAAGCACTTTCAAGGTCAGGGGTCGGTAACGTTCTGCTTCTTAAATATGCGTGACACATGTGGCTCTGAATCAGTATCTTAAATAACTGTTTATATCACTACAAAACTACTTTGAGCTGTTTTTATTTTCGTTAAAAATTCAATTAATTAGTTTTTATTAGACACCTGGGAAAGCGTTGTAGTCCTGTTGTATAAATTAAATAAAATAATAAAATTACCCATAGACGGTACAGATGAGTTAGTTAAAATCTCTTTCAGTTCGAAAAATATATAACGAGGCTGTCCAAAAAACTTTGTTTTCCCCTTAAAATATCACAAAACATTTCTTCTCCCTTAAAAATGTTTACCGATCCCTGCTCCAGTTGTTTCTCCGAAACGTCGGTAACCACCTACAACCCAGAAGACCGCCGTCGACATTTTATCGCCATGATAATCTCAGATCAGTGTTTTGTTTGTCGTGATTTCGATATCATCTTTAATCTGAGACAGTAACTTGAGTTTCTGCTCCCTGTACCCCATAAGCACCCCCCTCACCCTCCGGAATGTTCAAAGTAAGGGGCCCCAGAGCTGCTGTGACGTCATGGTTTAAGAGTACGTTTGTGATCTCAATTATAATCTAACCCAGACACACCCAATAGCCTGGTTTATCAGTAGATAAAATATGTGAAGTTTTTATAGAGAAATTATCTACAAAAGAAGACTTTACGTAGCAAATTGCAAGTGTATGATGATTACGAATGATGGAGTTGCTCACGGTAACCAAATCCCGAGCAACGCGAACTGTAGAAAACCTCCCCCTAAAACACGATACTATTTAGGGTAAATTTTCTGCTGACACTTTTCGAATTTTAGGCTAAAAATATCACAGGACGTTTCGTCAATAAATAAGGAAATCAGAGATACTAAAATTGTTGAAAACTTTTTTTTTTAAAAAAAACCCTTTCGTTTGCGAGTTTGTATTTCAGGACGTAAATGGAGAAATTTAATTTCCTGAACGAAACTGTGAATATAAACCATTCGAGCTCATGACGCAACTATCCGGTCATCACTACGCATTGACCTTTTTAAATTCCTTACCGAGAAGCTGATAGTCGCACAGCTAGGTAGTGAATCACCCGTCTTTAAAAGACCCTGAACTTCCATTGCCGTGTTTACAAGAAGACACTCCTGAAGGTATTCTGAGCCACACCGTTTTAATATTATCCTTCCATGTACTCTTGGATGTATTTTCTTCATTTCTGCGTGCGCGGTCATTTTGATGGGCCGCTAATATTTTTTATCCGTCGTGTTGGGGGGTCAGTTCTCTCAACTCACACGACATGGCGTGTCGCGACGCGTCCCACAGAGTGCGCATGACCACAGCAGTTGCCCTCGTCCAAACCTTTTACATCGATTACATTTTTGTTTTTCAGTTTATTCCAGCGTCAGATTCGGATTACTAATACGAAAGGACATGACGTCACACACGCCTTTTCTAAATAGTATCAATATTTACCGCAGTGGGCATTGTCGCTTTCGTTGATATCCACTGGTAACTGTGGATGGTCGCCTGGTTTCCAGAGACGGAGAAACTGCGGAAGAAATCGACTTCGTATTGTAGACAGATTTAGAATCGTGTTGAAATTCAACGGGAATGTTTGCTTTCGTACGTTTATCCACTTTATCTCTTCGTGACTTTGTTTTATCCTTATATTCTGTCATAGCAGTAGTGCTTATAAAATAGAACATTTTGCCATCTAGTGACATTACTGTGAACTTTATGCCTCTGAAAGCGCAACCAAACATTAAACTTCCGCTAATATAATAACAGATGATGTGATTATTTCGAAGAGATTGAAAAAATGTTTATAGTTCGTTTCTGTTTTAATATCATTTTGAAGCCTGAATCAACAGTCTGACTAACATAAAAGATAAAACCTTAGGATTATTATAAATGTCTGCAGTATTTACATAAACGCTCCATATTACAACCGCTTCAGAGATATTTCTGGACTTGAAGCTTTCTGGAGCTTTGGATTGTCCGTGTAGCTTAATTAGCGGAATTGATCCGTCTGGGATTATAACGGCACAGTTCCCGCGTCGACTGGGTTTGGGGGGTCGGACATGCAGTCGACTGCTTTGATCACTGCAGCGTTGCTATGGTGATTCGTACTGCTAAGGACTTGATATAAGATACCTTTGATATAACAGCCATATAATACAGGCCTAATTACTGCAGACAAAGATATCTATTCTGATAAACATGATATCGGTTTCGAGATTAAAGTGAAGAAACCCCGATTTCAGAATTGTAATAAATTTCCATCAGATGGACTAATGTGGTTTCTATATTAATTTGATACGTCGTTGCAAATTTGAAATATAAAAGTTGTGTTTCTTTGTAATGTCTATATTTCGTATCATCTCGCATTAGGGATGAAAAAAAATTTTCCCCCAGCAATATGATTAAAAAAAAATGTTGACACATTTCATAAGTCCTCCTGTTTGATTGGGTGGATTAATTAGTGAGTTTTTTTTTTTTTTTTTTTTTTTTTTTTTTTTTTTTTTTTTTTTTTTTTTTTTTTTTTTTTTTTTTTTTTTTTTTTTTTTTTTTTTTTTTTTTTTTTTTTTTTTTTTTTTTTTTTTTTTTTTTTTTTTTTTTTTTTTTTTTTTTTTTTTTTTTTTTTTTTTTTTTTTTTTTTTTTTTTTTTTTTTTTTTTTTTTTTTTTTTTTTTTTTTTTTTTTTTTTTTTTTTTTTTTTTTTTTTTTTTTTTTTTTTTTTTTTTTTTTTTTTTTTTTTTTTTTTTTTGAAATGCGTACAAAGCCTTCGCCTTATTGTCCGCAAACCCGCGTCTTCTAGGCGTTGAGCACAATGTTTCGGTTTGGTTTGCAGGAAGTTTATTGCGGCAAGGAGACGATTTGCACTGTAGATGGTCTCCACTTCAATTCCATGTACAACGCGCGAGTCAAAGCTTTCAACAGCACAGGGGAAGGTGAATACAGTGAAGTCATCGGGCTTCAGACCGCCGAAGGTAAGTTGAAGCCCGCCTGAACTGGAGTACCTTCATCTTAAATAAAAATAATAATAATATAGCAATACCAACTGACACGGAATGTAATTAAGAAGGAATTGGAGGAGATCTTGAAATACAAGGACCTTCTCGTTGAAATGCAGCGAATAATTATAGGAGCAACTGGAACTGTCTCTAAGTCACTCAGAAAATATTTGGCCAAGATCCCGGGCGAACACGAAATCAGGGAACTTCAGAAGACCGTCATTTTAGGATCTTCAGACATCATTCGAAAGACGCTGACGTAAAATATGTAACACGTATTAAAAACTAAATAGCATTTCTGAAATAGCTGCGTACCTCAGGGGCAAGGTTTTTCTCATGATATAATTGGCAGCGTTGGTCTGATAAGGGTTGCTGACATTCGCATCCCTTCGATTCTCCCTCGTCTGTGTATGC